ATATCTGTGTGCACGATTATTATGCAACTAAATGAAAAATGAATGTTCCCATATAACTTGTTTATTTTTATCAGTGATAATAAACAAACTCCTCAAAATTTACAAACATTTTTGACATCTCAAAAACAAAAAAAAAAACAGTGACTAATATAGCCACCCAACTTTTCAATAACAGTCATAATCCTTCCATTCATGGAGTCTGTCAGTTTTTTCTGTTGACAATCAACTTTTTGTGCAGCAGCAACCACAGTCTTCCAGATACTCTCCAGAGAGGTGTAATGTTTTCCTTCACTGTAAATCTCCCATTTCAGAAGGGCCCACAAGTTTTCAATTGGGTTTAGGTCAGGTGAGGAAGGGGGCCATGTCATTATTCTTTTATCTTTAAGGCCTTTACTGGCTAGTCACGCAGTGGAGTATTTCATTGCATTCAATGGAGCATTGTCCTGCATAAATATCATGGTCCTCTTGAAAGATGCAGACTTTTTCCTGTAAAACTGCTTGAAGAAAGTGTCTTCTAAAAACTGGCAGTAGGTTTGGGAGTTGATTTTGAGTCCATCTTCAACCCAAAAAGGTCCAACTAGCTCATCTTTAACAATATCAGCCCATACCAGTACCCCACCTCCACTTTGCTGGTGTCTGAGTTGAAGTGGAGCTCTGTGTCCGTTACTGATCCAGCCACGAGTCCATCCATGTGGTCTGTCAAGAGTCACTCTCATCTTATCAGTCCATAAAACCTTTGAAAAATCTATCTTCAGATATTTCTTGGCGCATTCTTGCCGTTTCAACTTATGTGTCTTGTTGAGTGGTGGTCGGGTTTTTAGCCTTCCTTACCTTAGCCATGTCTCTGACCACTGAACACCTTGTACTTCTGGGCACTCCATGTAGGTTGCAGTTCTGGAATATGACAGCACTGGAAGATAATGGGTCCCTGGTAGCTTCACATTTGATTCTTCTCAAATCTTTGGCAGTTAATTTGCATCTTTTTTTTCTCTCAATACATTTCTTACGACCCTGTTGACTATTTGCAACAAAATATTTGATGGTTCTGTGATCACGCTCCAATCTCTTAGCCATTCCAATAGTGCTGTATCTCTCTGAAAGACTTTTTACAATTTATGACTTTTCAGAGTCAGCTAAATCTCTTTTGGCCCATTTTGCCTGAGGAAAAGAAGCTGCCTAATAATTTTGCACACCTTGATATAGGGTGTTGATCTCCTTAGGCCACACCCTCTCTCATTACACAAATATACACATCACCTGATATGCTTAAATCCAGTAAGGCTTCAAGTTTATAGAGCTTGGAGTTGGACAATTTGCATAAAAATGATGATTTGTTTAAAATACTCACTTGTGTGAGAATTTTGCACACAGTGTATAGTTGGTAGTCTGTTTTGGTTATCCTTCCCTCACCACTTGGTAGGTAGACTTGGACATGTGCATGTCAGGATATCTGTATATATATGTTTGTCCCAGGTTCGTAACCCTCCAGTGAATCAAGAACAAGCTTGTTGCCCTATAACATGCACTCTCAAACCACATTGGCAATGATAGATCCATATGTCTGTCTGGTTAGGATCTGTCCTCCTTGCATGATGCTCTCAGTTCTTTAGTCTCCATTGGTGACCAAAGGATAAGGGTATGTGGTGTAAGGGCAGGGTTTTAAAACCGACAAATTAAAAGTAAATAGAAGTGAGTGCTCCTAAAAGCAGCTGGTAAAACACAAGAGGTACCAATAAAAACCTCTGTAAAAGTATAGATAAATAAGTGGGGTGTAGCGCTCAAAACAAAAAAAAATATCTCCACATATATAAACGCATGTGAATGCGTAAACGGATATAGAGTCTGTATCAAAAAGAAATATAGCAGATGAACTTGTGACTCCAACCAAAAGTGAAAAATGCGCACTCACCGGAAGCGCATAGATAATGCGCATACATATATACATTTCCAGAGTAGATTGGCCAATCCAGTGAACTTTATCCTATGGTGCAGCCATCAAGCCCTTGGAGAACGGTGTTGAATCCCTTGACCAGGAGTTCCTTCGTTAGGCTAAATGAGGTAATCAGCCTGGATATGGGGCTCCTGTTCCTCCAGATAGTTCCTCCTCAGGAACTAGACAGTACAGCACACTTCTGCTGCCTGGTGCTGGATTGAAGCCCGGGTGGCTATTTTAAATGAAGCTATTAAGCCCACAGGTACCTGTCAGTATCCAACATATCTGGAGGAACAGGAGCCCCGTATCCAGGCTGATTACCTCATTTAGCCTAAAGAAGGAACTCCTGGTCAAGGGATTCAACACACCCGTCTTCAAGGGCTTGATGACTGCACCATAGGATAAAGTTCACCGGATTGGCCAATCTACTCTGGAAATTTATATATGTATGCGCATTATCTATGCGCTTCCGGTGAGTGCGCATTTTTCACTTTTGGTTGGAGTCAAAAGTTCATCTGCTATATTTCTTCTTGATACAGACTCTATATCCATTTATGCATTCACATGCGTTTATATATGTGGACATATTGTTTTTATTTGTTTTGAGCGCTACACCCCACTAGGGTTTTTAAAACCAGTCATGACAGGCAGACTGTAGGATCCAGAGTAGAGACTGACACTAATTCCAGAACTGTATGCCAGAATGCCAAGAGAAACCATTAATAGTTAGGGATTTTCTCTGTGTATACTAACTACATTTTATATTTGTTGTCTTAGATACAATAGAAGGGGGTTTGGAGGGTATTGGACTGCTGGTCCCAAGTACATTTATACCGAAGTGAGGATCTACTCTTATTTTTAGGGGGATGTGCTGTAGCTATTAGTGTTAACTTACCAAGTAGCTGGTTTAGTGGAAGATGCGACAGCAGAAAGGCTCCCCTCCCACTGAGGGGGCTATATAGATTTCTGCTGGTTTGGTACAGATGGTGACCTCCTGGCCAGTCCTACATTGATATGTGTCCTGTGTCTCCATGGCTGGTTCTTGGCAAACCCAGCACACATTATTCAGGTCATAGTTTACTGTCCTGGGGCCACCGGCATTCTCCCTCCTCTGCCTTCCTAGGAACATGTGTAATGGGAACATCCATGCCATCTGCAGTGAATTGTGTGCGGTGTGTGAGATAAATTCTTGCAGACAGATTGATCTCATAATTCCTTTCTGAGATGGGATAACAACGAGCAGTTTAGTTTGGGAAAAAGCGATTTAAGAATTATTATGAGCTTTGGAGATTTGTGTGGAGCTTGTAGAAGTGAAATAGGATTTAATGATGGTATAATAAGCAGCGTTGTCGTAATTCTGCCGCAGTACAGAGCCCTGGACACTGATCGCTAGCTATGGGTGTGAATACCTTTGTGAAAGTATTTTGCTGTGTGTTAGGTGACTGTCTTGTCCTGGATTATATGAAAGTTGGTAGAGTGCTGAGTACACTGATGAATTTATATAAATACTCTGTATACATCATACTAGGGGAGGTCTGATGGGAAATGAGAGAGATGGATGACAGGGTAGAATTTCTGAACGTAGACAGATTGTCACGTGTCCCTTACTTGAATTCTGTTCTTGGCACCCCTTGCTGGGGAGAAAACCATATGCTCTGCATATCTGAGTTAAAAAACACAGCAACCATGAACAACATTGGGGCCTTTCCACAAAAATAGATGGCTTCTCACTCCTCTGTGCTGTTTGCTGATTTTTACAATTAAGTCTCAGGAAACCGATGTACCTCCTGCATGAATATCATTTTTATACATTTTGCATCTAAGATTTTGCCATTTAAAGTTAAATTTCATTTCTTACAATGGTTCTGTGATGTGTTCATTGAAGAGTGCAGGAAAGGACCTCTTACAGGTGAAGAGAGAATATTAATCTGCCAGTTAAAATAATGATTTGTCGGAAGTATGGGCTTGCAGAAGTTCTACATCTCTGCCATGTGATAAATAACAAAAAATGTTAACACACTTCTGCAGCTTTGTGGTTTGACCCCCTTTTATAACACACTGTGAAAATGTCGTTCTGTGTACAACAAGGTGACATCATATCCCTGGTCTGAAGACTGTCACTTAGATTGGTAGTGACTTTCCCAATAATCACTGAATATTCAGGATTGTTGGTGTGTGTGTATACATATACAGTATCTCACAGAAGTGAGTACACCCCTCATATTTTTGTAAATATTTTATTCTATCTTTTCATGTGACAACACTGAAGAAATGACACTTTGCTACAATGTAAAGTAGTGAGTGTACAGTTTGTATAACAGTGTAAATTTGCTGTCCCCTCAAAATAACTCAACACACAGCCATTAATGTCTAACATGTACAGGTCATGGAGTGGCCTAGTCAGCCTCCAGATCTTAATCCTATAGAAAATTTAGGGAGGGAGATGAAACTTTGAGTTACCAAGTAACAGCCAAGAAACCTTAAGGTTTTAGAGAAGATATGTAAAGAAGAGTGGACCAAAATCCCTCCTGAGATCTGTGCAAACATTGTAACCAACTACAAGAAACGTCTTACCTCTGTGCTTGCCAGCAAGGGTTTCTCCAGCAAGTACTAAGTCATGTTTTGCTTGGGGATCAAATATTTATTTTACTCACTGAACTGCAACTCGATTTATAACATTTGTATCATGTTTTTCTTTCTGGATTTTTCAAAATACACCTATGATAAAAATTATAGACCCATCACTTCTTTGTAAGTGGGCAAACTGACAAAATTTGCAGGGGATCAAATAATAATTATCCCGTGTGTGTGTATATATATAATGTTACAGTGTTTTTTTTAATTATTATACAGCATTCCATTGTTTAGGTTCTTCTATTGTTGAGGCTTCATGTTTTTGATGTGATAATTTGCGTACTGTGCCATAGCAGGAGTCAGAAATGACAGCTTACAGCAGAGGATGATCTCTGAACAGTTCTAGAATGGTCTCTTATGTTTTGTCATAAAGTCAGTGAAGAAGATTTATGTCTTGTATCAGAACATCCTATGATAGTTTCTTTGTGTTTTGCAGCCACAATGAGAGGAAAGTGACATGTAAACACCCAGTAACAGGACTGCCCTCCCAGGACAACTGCATCTTCGTGGTCAACGATCAGTGAGTATCATTGTTGCAATATTGCCATGACTAATCCTTCTACATTGTAACAATATTCCTGTGCCCAGATACAATGTAACAACATTCCTGTGACCAGTCCTAATAATTGTAACAACATTCCTGTCACTAGTCCTGATACATTATAACAGCATTCCCATGACCAATCTCGATACACTGTAACAATTTATTCGTGTGTCCAATCCCGATACATTGTAACAACATTCCACTGACCAGTCCTGATACATTTTAACAACATTCCTATGATTTGGATTGGTCCTCCTGACACATTGTAACATTGTTTCTTCTGTACACCTCAGATGAGGGAAAGGAAATTTTTATACAATTCTGGATCCAGTCTGGAAGCTGATGGACGGTAATAAGAACCCGGAGACTGTATGTCTTCATTGATGACAATCGAAAAGGTTCGGAATATTGAGTCACCAGCTGTTAAACATGTGTTGGTTCCAGGGATATGTCCTGTTAGGGGTAGAGTATTATGGAATGTAGTTTTCACATAGTGAACTGAGGACTTGTATCAATAGATCCGCCAGATTTCTCTATATAGTTTAGACCGACATTGAGGTTGCATCTTCCAGCACAGCCCATCCTTCTGAGTTCAGAGGATTTTCAAGGTGTTCATCACGTTCGATATTTTTATGTGTAAAATATCTGAACTAATCATGTGACTTGTCATTTACAATTCTCTTCTTTTATGTGATCACAGAGAACCACCTTCTCCTCTGAGGTTGTTCTCATGTGTCTTATTTCATATTATTCTTTTCTGTCATTTGTAGGACTCCCTCTACCATGACCTCTCAGGAAACAAAGGACCGAGCTGTCAGCGTAACCAGTGACAATTCTAATTGCAACGCTCCAACCACTTCAGGCAACCCCGCCAGCCCCATTAGCCGGGTAAGTGTTTACTGAATGATGATGGAAGGGTCAAGGGGCGTCCTGACTAACTTGCATTACTTCCTCCCATACATGAAAATGCAGTGAATACTAGGACATGAGGTGTACACCAATGTATAACACATTCGGTTTTCATTGTAATAGTGACTGAGGCTTTGTACTGGATAAGTCACAGTGATTGCTATCTGTGCATAGAGGAATACATAGGCAAGGAGACCCATTGATCACTCAGTTCATGGTGACTGCAACTGGTGGTGTAGGATACGTATGTCTGGTGATTAGTATGTACGTGGTGAAGGTACCTGGCAGTATTAGCATCTGAAAGTCAGGTGATCGGTGTGTACATGGTGACAGCGTTTGGTAGTATAGGATCAGGAGGGCAGGTGATCAAGTATATACATGATGATGGCACCTGGTAGTATAGGATCTGGTGGTCAGGTGATTATTATGTACATGATGATGACACCTGGTGTTAGCAGGTACCTAGAGATATTGGGATGTGGCAGTCAGGAATAAGTTTGTACATGATGACGGCACCTAGCGGTGTCAGATCCGGAGATCAGGGCATCAGTCTGCACATGGTGACTATACCTTCCAGAACAGCAGATGGAGGTCAGGTGTTCAGTGTGTGAGAACACCTAGTGGTATTGGACCTGAAGGCCAGCTGATCAGTATGTGCATGGTCACCTGGTGCTATAGGATCTGGAGGCCAGGTGATAAGTATGTACATGGTAAGGGCACCTGACAGTATCAGATCTGGAGGTCAGGTGATCATTATGTCTGATAATGGCATTTGATGGTGTATCTCACACAGCGTTAATCCCTGCTTTATTCTGGATATTCTGCAGTACGTTTTGGAGTTCTGTTATTCTATCGCCCACCTCTATCCTGCCTGTGCTCCAGATTATTCCTTTATAGAGAACAGAGAGACGTATAATTAGAGCTGGTCTCCTGCCGAGAGATTCCGTATACCTGATATTGTCTATATGTTGCCTCTTTCCCACCTCTTCATTTCTTCTCACCTTTGTAAATGAAGAACTGAATATATAGGGCATTGCTGGGTGTTGCTGCCTAAGTCATTTTATATCATCTAGCTATTGTCATCTTTACCTAAACATTTTTGTCCTTTGTTTGCTATTTATAGTTCCATTTTTCCCCTACATATAGAGATTTGCAAAGTGATATCTGTCAGTAGATGAAAGAGTTGATCTTATATTTCAGTATTTCTGGCACTTATATATGTGGAATAATGTGGGCTTAAAATGGTTGTAAGGTTTTTTCTTATTTTTTTTGGTCAATAACAGATATGTTATACTTACCTGCTCCGTGCAATGGTTTTGCACAGAATGGCCCCAAACCTCCTCTTCTGGGATCCCCTGCCGGTGCTCTGGGCTCCTCATCCCTTCCAAGTGTCCGCATAGCAAGCTAGTTTCTATGGTGGGAATTTATGCGGGTTCATTTTCCAGCCGGGCTGTGTGCGATTATTTAGGCACACAGTACAGCTCGTCCTGCCCTGCTCTCTACTCACAGGTGTTCACTGACATCAGCAGGAGACAATGGCTCTTGCAGCTCTCAGCTAAGCCTGTTAGAGTGGAGCAAGGAGAGAAGAGCTGCTGCAGACATACGCCATTCTGGATCAAGATCAAGCTCAGGTGAGTATATAGAGATTGCTGGGGGGAGTTACTGTTGAAAGGGTTTTATACCTTAATGCGAAGAATGCATTAAGGTAAAAAAAAAGCTTTTAGCTTTACACCCACTTTAAACATTATTCTGGAGTAACAGAGGGTGAAATTGCTCCTATTGTTCATAGTATGGCTGCCTCTCATTTCAGCAAATTCTCTGCGACAGGTTTACAGTGTGCATTTATCCCTGCACTTGGGCAGACAACCTCCAGAGATTTATCTCCGGTTGGTACAGGTGGTTGTTAATATTTTTATTTATATAGCACACAACTTACACAGTTCCTTACATACAGTATATAGTGCATTCACATCAGTCTCTGCCCTCAAGGCGCTTACGATCTAAGGTCCCTAAAGCCAGCCATTCATGGATCGACATTTGGCCAATTCAGCAAGAACCAGCCAATTTTGATCAATTTATGAAACAGGGACCTGCTGATCGACTTTTGTACAACCATCCTGTTGGATTTTCCTTACTCGATCAGCATTGCAGGCTATAACCCGCAACAATGATTAGTGTATTCTGACTGCAGGGAATTCTCCCTGCTGTCAGAATACAATGACTCAGTGGGGAGGATTGATTGTGTGGATGGGGGAAGTGATTAATTTTTATTTTTTTTTTGTTTCAACCAGCAGGTTGAATGAAGAAAAAAAATATTTTATGGGCTGCTTAACTGGCATTCATGCATGCATGCATGCATGCATACATACATACATACATACATACACATACAAGGGCCAATTTAGACAGGAACCAATTATAACCTACCAGCATGTATTTAAAGTTTAGGAGGAACCAGAGTACAGGGAGAACAGGCAAAGTCCAAATGTCCATGCAGGTAGTCTCATGATAGGGATTCAAACCAATTACTCTAACCGCTGTGCTACAAATATGCTGTAAACCTTTCTCAGAGATTTCATTGAACAGTGAGGCAGCCTGATTGGTGTCTTAATTGTGTTGCCTATTTGTTTGATAAATATCCCCTTTTGTGTTTAGTGATGAATGACTGTATCTTCTCTTCCATTGTAAAAAATTGTGTATGTTAAGATTGTATCTAGTGATGAGTGATGTTTTTTTTTTTTTTTTTTTTTTTTCCAGTCCTCTAGATCTGCTGGAAAAGTCCACAATTTTGGGAAACGTTCAAATTCTATAAAGAGGAAACCCCAATGCCCCGGTGATTATGCGTGGCTGGCTTTACAAGAAGGTATCCACATTTATAAATTTTTATAGATTGTGAGCTGCTGGGGTAGCATTTGATGTATGATGATGGGAATGTGAGACACGGCTGAGTACAGAGACAGGGTGCCACAACTGTGTTATTAACTGGCAGAGCACTCCATTGTCCTGCATATAGTGCCTGTTCATATTAACTGGCAGAGCACCCCATTGTCCTGCGTACCGTCTCTGTTCATAATATTAACTGGCAGAGCACCCCATTGTCCTGCATATAGTGCCTGTTCATATTAACTGGCAGAGCACCCCATTGTCCTGCGTACCGTCTCTGTTCATAATATTAACTGGCAGAGCACCCCATTGTCCTGCATATAGTGCCTGTTCATATTAACTGGCAGAGCACCCCATTGTCCTGCGTACCGTCTCTGTTCATAATATTAACTGGCAGAGCACCCCATTGTCCTGCGTGTCGTCTCTGTTCATAATATTAACTGGCAGAGCACCCCATTGTGCTGCATGTAGTGCCTGTTCATATTAACTGGCAGAGCACCCCATTGTCCTGCATGTAGTGCCTGTTCATATTAAGTGGCAAGCACCCCATTGGCAGAGCAGAGCCCCATTGTCCTGCATCCTGCATAAACTGGCAGAGCACCCCATTGTCCTGCATAAACATTATTATCCTATTATTGGCAGAAGATCAGTTGTTCTGCATACACTGCCTGTTTTTATTATTGACTAACAGAGCACCCCGCTATTATTTGAACGATGACCTCTCCACCCTTATTACCAGCTCCCTTCCACTAAACTGCACTGACTCCATCCCAACTACTCCCTCACCTCCACATTGAGCCATGAGCCTCCCCAATATTTAAGTCTACTGTGATGAAATTCTCTTCAGCGCGTGCCGCACCTATACACTGAGCTTCCATAGTCTTGAATGAGCCTGTATATTTAGACCAGCGATCCTCTGTCATGTAAGTCTATGGGGACTGGGGACATGGAGTTTGAGAGGCCTTACATGTATCAGTACTATCCCCAGATAAATGATCAATAGGATTTTTTTTAAATTAAAGCACATCTATGATCAAAATGTATACATTTACTTTCTTGAGTTCTGTGACGTTTTCACTATGTCCTGTGAGTAGGCATTGCTGTGTCACAAAATTCACAGAGCTTGCCTTCTGAACTATAGAGGTGCTGAGAGGAGGAGTCTCAGGAGGTGGAGTAAGTACAGGAATAACTGCTTGCTGAAAGCAAGGTACCATGGGATATGTAGTCCTTAGAAATTGAAAGTAAACAGCAGAGGAGAAGCTGCAAAGCATGTAGGGAATCTAGGAAGTTGTGGAAGTAGATGACCAGGTGACAGCCAGAACTCACAACAAGAAAGGCGTTTTTTTTTTTTTTTTAAGTATAGTTATATGGGATTGTCAAAAATAACTGTTGTTTGTATTGCTATTACAATGCAGATATTATGTAATGAACGTGTATGCTGTGATCCATTCCCTTTAAAAGGATAACTCCACTTTCATGGGGATAAATATTGCAGATAAAGAAAAATATTATAGCATATACATTTATGATACAAACTATATTGTAATATAACGTTATTAAAAATGAGCTTTCCTTTTCAATCTGCAGCATTGTTATTTTCTGTTAAATGCAATACAATATGGCAACCTGGAGGCATTCTGTACACAGATGGTGTACGGAACACCCCCCAGAGATGTCATTCCCTGCTTGTATGATTGGCTCACTGATTTTCCTAGAAGTCTGCTCTAAGATACAAATCACATCCCCTCCAACACACATTTCCACTCTGGTAAGATATTCCCACAGGATTAAAGTAATTGTATTTTTTAAAATATCAAACAGGTTACCTGCTTTGTGCAATGGAATTGCACAAAGCTGCCCTGAACTGCCTTGGGTCCCCTGTAGGCGCTGCTGGCTTCTTCCACCAAGTGCCCCCAAAGAAATCTGCCTTCTCTGAGGGACTTGTGCGAGTGCGCTCTGGAGCCTCACTGCCTGTTTCTGTTGATGTAGACAGCAGAACCCAGCCCCCCTCCTCCCCGGCATTGATTGACAGTGGTGGGGGCGAATGGCATCCAACTGCCATAACAAAGCTAGTGAGACCAGGAAGTAAGGTGTAGAGAAGAGCTGCAGACGTGCACAGCGCTGGATCGGATGAGGGCTCCGGTATGTAAAAAGGGAGGTGAGGGGGGATACTGATTGATGCCTAAACATTTTTTACCCTATTGCAAAAAATGCATAAAGGTAACAAGTGTTTAGGCTTTATAGCTACTTTAATCAGATCTAGGGGGATTCAGACCCTGCTACTTTCCTTGTTAGAATCCTGCAAGTGCAGCTGCTGATCACGAACTAAAGAAATCACTGCCATACACATTCACTTTGAACATGGACACAAACAGTAATTTCTTCAGAATAACAAAAGGTTGAAAGTTTGTTAAAATCCCTGCATTGTACACCCAGAGGGGAATGATTTTTTTTTTCTCAACAAAAGTGGAGTTACTCTTAAGATTACGCTTTACTCTTTAAATTTGTAAAAAATCACATTGAAGCCATACTTTGTTTGAAATTGGATCTTTTATAATGAAACTGGCTGTTTGCATTGCAGATTGAAAGATTATCTTTAACCACTTCACGCAGGTGGATGTTCTATGACGTCCTGGGCTGTCAGTGGTTATACCAGGATGATGCCTGAACCTGCGGACATCATCCCGGTATCAAAAATTATAGCTGCTGATGCTCTGTAAAGTAGAAGGATGCGGAAGAGGTTTCCTGTCGGATTGGGGAGCCCGGGACTACTCTGACATTACACAGAGAGAGATGTAACATTATTCCTCCCTCTCTGTGACCCTGGAAATCAGAAGCAATGAAGATTTTGTCACATCCACTTTCTTTTCTTTGTTTACTTGGCCATTAGTGGCCAAGTTGATAAAAAAAAATTAAAGAAAATTAAAGGGACTTTGTTAAAAAAAAAGTGTTAAAGTGTTACTAAACCCAGGATCCTGCATTCACTCTATCTTGTCTCCCACAGTACACAGACCATGGAAGTGCAATTATTTTAGTAAATATAAATTGCTAAATAAATTTTCTCATCAGCAGTTAGAGAAGTCTTGTGACTTCTATCAGTGTCCAGCAGAGCACATGTTAAAGCTGGTAGAAGGAGTTTTTATTCTGCTGTAGGAGGATGCAGTACTCCTGACTGACTCTGATTAGATGATTGGCCCTGTGATGATCACATGCGCACTCCTAAAAAAAAAAAAAAAAAAAAACAAAACAAAAAAAAAAAACCTGTAGCAATACACACCAAACTGAGCATGTGCAGAATGTCAATATGTCTCATCAGGAGATAAGAGGGGCACTGGAAGAGGGGGAGAATAAGAGATTTCAGGATCAAACAGCATTTTTAACCCCTTAGGTTCCACAGTGAGTAAAACAAGCATGCTTTACTGCATATACAGACTGATTTTTTACTGTTCTGGGTTTAGTAACACTTTAAAGTAAATTATTATTATTATACAGTATTTATAAAGCGCCAATAGTTCGCTCAGCGCCGGGGGACAGAACATGTGACAGAACAATACCAATACAATGCAAAACATGAGGGGATCGAGGGCCCTGCTCTTTCGAGCTTACAATCTAGGAGGGAGGGGATGGTGGCACAGGAGGAGATAGCTGTGGGGGATGGAGTGGTAGGAAGAGTGGAGGAGGTCAGCAAGTTAGCAGGGGGTGGGGTAGGCTTCCCTGAAGAGGTGGGTTTTCAGGGTGCGCCTAAAGGAGAGAAGAGTAGGTGATAATCTGATGGGTTGGGGCAGGGAGTTCCAGAGGATGGGTGACACCCTGGAGAAGTCCTGGAGGCGGGCATGGGAGGAGGAGACCAGGCAGCTAGAGAGAAGGAGGTCTTGTGAGGAGCGGAGTGTGCGTGCTGGGCGGTACTTGGATATTAGGTCAGTGATGTAGTTTGGGCAGTATGGAGGACAGCTTTGTACGTCAGCGTTAGGATTTTGAATTTGATCTGTTGCGCAATCGGAAGCCAGTGGAGGGATTGGCAGAGGGGGGTGGTGGAGACAGAGCGGTTGGAAAGGGGAATGAGTCTGGCAGCCGTATTCAGGATGGACTGAAGCGGGGATAGCCAGCGGCGAGGCAGGCCAGTGAGGAGGGAGTTGCAGTAGTCAAGTCGTGATACGATGAGGGAGTGGATGAGCTGTTTAGTGGTTTCTGGGGTTAGGAACGTGCGGATTTTGGCGATGTTGCGGAGGTGGAGTCTGCACGAGTTTGTTAAAGATTGGACTTGGGGCTGGAAGGATAGGTTGGAGTCCAGAATGACACCCAGTACTCTGGCCTGCAGGGCGGGTTTGATGGTAGCGTTGTTGGATGTGATGGAGAAGTCAATGGGGGGTGGTGTCAGGGCTGGGGGAAGACAAGAAACTCGGTTTTGGAGAGGTTCAATTTAAGGAAGTGGAGCGACATCCAGTCTGATATGTCGCTCAGTAGGTGAGTGATTCGGGCTGAGACCAGGGGGGGTGAGGTGGGGGGTTGAGAGATAGATTTGTGTGTCGTCGGCATAGAGGTGGTAGTTGAAGCCGTGAGAGTGTATGAGTTGGCCAAGGGAGGAGGTATAGATGGAGAAGAGAAGGGGCCCGAGGACAGAGCCTTGAGGGACCCCAACAGAGAGGGGGAGTGAGGGGGAGGTTGTAGCGTTATAGGTAACGCTGAAGGAGCGTTGTGACAGGTAGGATGAGAGCCAGGAGAGAGCAGAATCTCTGAGGCCGAGGGAGTGTAGTTTTTTGAGGAGGAGGGGGTGGTCGACTGTGTCGAAGGCCGCAGGAGAGGGTGATGAGGGGGTAGCCCAGTGAGGGGGAAGGGGGTTGGAGGGAGTTTGAGCAGCGTCGAAGTCCCTGCGGGTTATGTCGAGGGGGAGGGGGGATGAGGGGGTAGCTGTGTGAGAGGGGACGGGTTGAGAGGGCGTGTGAGTTGCGGCGATGTCCTTGCGAATTGTGTCAATCTTGTTTTTGAAGTGATTGGCAATCTCAAGGGCAGTGAGTGAGGTGCTGGGTGGAGGTGGGGGTGGCGAGAGTAGAGAGTTGAAGGTGGAGAAGAGTCGGCGAGGATTGGAGGAGAGGGCCTTGATGAGGGTCAGGAACTAGGCTTGTTTGCCAGCGTGGAGGGAGGAGGTGTAGGTGTGGAAGGCAGATTTGTAGCGGGTGAAGGCTTGTTGAGATTTGGTTTTGCGCCATAGTCGCTCCAGGGCATGACTGTGTCGTTTGAGGCTTTTGGTGTGATCAGTCTGCCAGGGCTGGAGCGGTCGGGGGTCTGATGTTGCGTGTGGTTAAAGGCGCTAGTGAGTCAAGGGCTGTTGACAGCGCGTTGTTGTAGGCGGTCATAGCCAAGTCGGGGCAGGACAGGGGGAGGATGCGGTCATGGAGTTGATCAGCTGCAGAGTGGAGGGGGCAGGGTTAAGGTTGCGGAGGTTACGGCTGGTAGTAGTGTGACATTTGGAGGGGTAGGCGTTGGAGGACGAGGAGATAGAGAAGGTGATCAGGTTGTGGTCAGAGAGAGGGAAGGGGGTGTTAGTGAGGTTGTGGGGAGCGCAGCGGTTGGAGAAGATGAGATCAAGGATATTACCATCAGAGTGGGTGGTGGATTGTATGCACTGTGCAAGTGCAAAGGAGGAGGTTAAGTGGAGGAGACGGGCTGTCGAGGTTGACAGGGATGTGAAATCCCCAAGGATGATGGTGGGTAGCTCAGAGGAGAGGAAGAAGGGTAGCCAGGAGGAAAAGTCATCCAGGAAGCGGGGTATGGATCCAGGAGGCCGGTATATCACAGCAATGTTCAGGGGGGTTGGGGAGAATAGTCGGATGCAGTGGGCCTCGAAGGAGGAGAAGGATAGGGAGGGGGGGTTTGGGAGGACTCGGAAGGTGCTCTGCGGTGACAGGAGCATACCAACCCCACCACCTATATGACCGTTGGGCCTGGGTGAGTGGGTCCAGGTGAGACCTCCGTAGGAAAATAAAGTAAATGATATTATTTAAAAAATGTAAAGTGTTCCACCCCCCTGCGCCTAAGTCATGCAATCAAATGTAAATGGTGATCAACACCACACATGTGAGGTATCATCACAAATGTCAGAGTGAGAGCAATAATTTTAGCTCCAGACCTCCTGTGCAGCAGTGAATGTGTATTTTTCCCAAAATAATTGCATTTGGAAAACCGCTGCGCAAATAACATGTTACATTAAAAAAATTCAACACCCACAGTTTTATTCTCTAGGGCCTGTATAAAAACAAATTATATATATAAATATAAAAAAAATTTTATTTAATTTAATGTGATGTTTGGGGGTTCTGAGTAATTAAAAAAAATTCTTTTTTTTATATGTATATATTTATATGAGAAGTTTCAGGATTGGTTAAAGCATTTTGCTACTTTTCTCATCTAAAAAGAAAGATCATTCCAAAACAGAATTGAAATTGGAAACAATGTGCTGTCATGATCAGTCGTTTTGAATTTTCAGTCAAACACAAACCAGAATTGTAGAGAAGAGTAAATTGTGAGTGATGTGAGATCCGAGCTATTAGATTGGTGAGTCGGATTGATAAAAAGAAATGATGAGAAAATTTGTCAGTGTATCACCAGCACACATTTTATGCATTGAGAGGTGGAAGTGACTGCAGGTAGGGCCATGGCAGTGATACATTGATAGTTCACTTAAAAGCATGGAACACCAGGAAACTGTGACATTGTGTAGTGGTGTCACACCTCCACCCTATACAGAGTGGCAGTGCTGTGTGAATCACACGACTGGCTGAAAAGCACTGCTAGCATTTTGGAAGATAAAATAGTTCAGATGTATTTTCATTTTGTATTTCACTGTTTGGCTGGAGTTTTCATTTAAATAACTGGTTCATATGTCAGCACATAGTGAAAAAATATTTAGCTGAGGTCCAGAGCTGTTTCTGCAATTGTCTCTGCTCGATTAGAATGGCTCCTGAACTCTGAGTAAAGCCACTCTGTGTCTATCTACCTGTGTATATCTACCTGTCACGGCATACTTGGAGTTATGCGGTGTTTGAAGCATCTCCCTTCCTTGATAATGTGACTTACTTCTCACCTGCTGGAAGACACACCAGGATTGTTACAATATACAACAGAAAGTGAAACCCCTCCATATATCATTCACTGTGTACAGTCACCCAAGTCTCCATCTGGGACTGCTAGAGTTAATGTGGCAATGTCATTAACATGTAGCGATAGTGTTCGATAAACACCTTCTGCGATGTGTTACAAAAAGCCAACACAGACTTGCACGTGGTGCTAATTAAAGTGAAGTAGTGGAAGCGTCACCTTGCGCCATCTGCAGAGGATGCGTCAGCACTCCGTGTTTCTGTTAACCCCTGAAAGGTCTGCCGAGATGACATCCCTTCCTTTGTCAGCTCTAATCCCCAGGGGTCTGAACCCATGTCCGTTTTGTGTTAAAGTCTATTAAAGTGGAACTTCAGCCCAAACTTTGCTTTCCCTCTTCTAGGTTGAGTGTGGTGTGGCAGGTCAGGATCTCTACCTTGGTGCGATTGCTGTCTAGGAGATTTTCCCTGACTGCCTGTCCTTGTGATAAAAATGGAGATGAGGTGGGGTAGGGGGGAATCTCATCAGAGTGAGATAGTCATTGATCAGACAAAAGTTTTCAGTCCTTCACCTTTACATATATAATGTTCAGTTTAATCCCTGACAGTTCTGTACTCTCTGTGTCATCATGGTAACTCTTGAGTATCAAAGCATGGCGCTTTCTGGTGTGCTGCCTCATTTATTATTTATGATTAATACATCATGAAGTTCATATGTTAATGGAGTAATTGTGTATTTTTCCAGGCAAATTCTGGGATGAAATTGTGGAAGAAGCGCTGGTTTGTTCTGTCAGACTTGTGTCTGTTTTATTATCGAGGTGAGTGTGGACATTTTAGCTTTCATCAATCTTATATCTCCGAGGTTAGTGCAGACTTACATGTCATGTGTCTCTGAGGTGAGTGCAGACATGTTGGCACTCATGCAAGGTGGGTGTGGACATGTCGGCTCTCATCCAACTTGTATCTCTGAGGTGAGTGTGGACATATTGGCTCTCGTCCATCTTTTTTCTCTGAGCTGAGTGTGGACGTATAGTCTCTCATCCATCATGTAGTGCACAGGTGAGTGCGGACATATTGTCTCTCATCTGTTTTGTAGTGCCGAGGTGACTGTGGATATATCGGCTCTCATCCGTCTTTAATTTCTGAGGTGAGTGCTGATATATCTGCTGTCATCCATTTTGTATTTCTAAGGTGATTGTGGACGTTTTGGCTCTCATCTGTCTTGTATCTCTGAGGTTAGTACAGATGTATCGGCTCTCATCTGTCCTGTATCTCTGAGGTGAGTGTAGACATAAAGGCTTTCATCTGTCTTGTATCCTCGATGTGAGCATGCTCATATCTCTCATCCATTTTGTCGTGCTGAGGTAAGTGCAGATATATAGGCTTTGCTTTGTCTTATAGTGTTGAGGTAAGTGCGAACATATAGGTTTCATTGGTCGTGTATCTCTGAGGTGAGTACAGACATGTCGGCTTTTACCCATCTTATAGTGACGAGGTGAGTGCAGACATGTTGGCTTTTACCCATCTTATAGTGACGAGGTGAGTGCAGACATGTCGGCTTTTACCCATCTTATAATGATGAGGTGAGTGCAGACATGTCGGCTTTTACCCATCTTATAGTGACGAGGTGAGTGCAGACATGTCGGCTTTCACCCATCTTATAGTGATGAGGTGAGTGCAGACATGTCGGCTTTCACCCATCTTATAGTGACGAGGTGAGTGCAGACATGTCGGCTTTTACCCGTCTTATAGTGCCGAGGTGAGTGGAGACATGTCGGCTTTTACCCATCTTATAGTGACGAGGTGAGTGCAGACATGTCGGCTTTCACCCATCTTATAGTGACGAGGTGAGTGCAGACATGTCGGCTTTCACCTGTCTTATAGTGCCGAGGTGAGTGCAGACATGTCGGCTTTCACCCATGTTATAGTGCTGAGGTGAGTGCAGACATGTCGGCTTTCACCCGTCTTATAGTGCCGAGGTGAGTGCAGACATGTCGGCTTTTACCCATCTTATAGTGACGAGGTGAGTGCAGACATGTCGGCTTTTTACCCATCTTATAGTGCCGAGGTGAGTGCAGACATATCAACTTTCGTCAGTCTTGTAGTGTGGAAATGAGTGCCGACACACAGGTTCTCATCAGTCTGGTATCCCCAAGGTGAGTGTGGACATATTGGCTCCCATCAATCTTGTATCTCCAAGGTGAATGCGGGTGTATCGTTTTTCATCTTTTTTCTATCTCCGAAGTGAGTGCGGACATATCGGCTCTCATCTGTCTTGTAGTGCTTAAGTCTCTGACCACTTTATAACTGCAGGGCCCTGCACTGAAAACTCTGCTATTAATGCTCACATTCCTCAGCAGTACAGAGAGCAGCGGCTTGGTGAAATTACAAATTGAGAGGATTTCATGACTTTCTGACTGAGGAAGATCGCTTGTAAAGAATATGTGTAAGGTGCAGAGGCGATGATTGCTGATGAACAACCCTCATCAGTATTTTGTACTCTTAAGCCTTAAGATACCATATACTAAACGTTAATAACATGTTAATTTTTTTTTTTTTGGTGGTCTCCTTCGTTGTGCATTCTATACAAGTTTGGCCACTCCAACAAATTTATGGATTAATAAATGCATCATCCAATTAGCTTAGCCAAGTATATTATATATAAGTGGTTCACATCAATTTCTTGGGAATTTCAGAAAATTATGCCACTAAATTCACTTACAAATGCTCCAACCGTTTTTAATTTTCAATAGAGAGAGGTATTCTCTAAGAAACGAAGAGTAGGGAAATTCAGCAAAAACAGCATCTTTGGTAGGTTTCTTCTCCACTTGAAATAACTGATTATACAGTAAGGTCCATAAATATTAGGACATTGACACAATTCTAACATTTTTGGCTCTATACACCACCACAATGGATTTGAAATGAAACAAACAAGATGTGCTTTAACTGCAGACTGTCAGCTTTAATTTAAGGGTATTTACATCCAAATCAGGTGAACGGTGTAGGAATTACAACAGTTTGCATATGTGCCTCCCACTTGTTATGGGACCAAAAGTAATGGGACAGAATAATAATCATAAATCAAACTTTCACTTTTTAATACTTGGTTGCAAATCCTTTGCAGTCAATTACAGCCTGAAGTCTGGAACGCATAGACATCACCAGATGCTGGGTCTCATCCCTGGCGATGCTCTGCCAGGCCTCTACTGCAACTGTCTTCAGTTCCTGCTTGTTCCTGGGGCATTTTCCCTTCAGTTTTGTCTTCAGCAAGTGAAATGCATGCTCAATCGGATTCATGTCAGGTGATTGACTTGGCCATTGCATAACATTCCACTTCTTTCCCTTAAGAAACTCTTTGGTTGCTTTTGCAGTATGCTTTGGGTCATTGTCCATCTGCACTGTGAAACGGCGTCCGATGAGTTCTGAAGCATTTGGCTGAATATGAGCAGATAATATTGCCCGAAACACTTCAGAATTCATCCTGCTGCTTTTGTCAGCAGCCACATCATCAATAAATACAAGAGAACCAGTTCCATTGGCAGCCATACATGCCCACGCCATGACACTACCACCACCATGCTTCACTGATGAGGTGGTTGCTTAGGATCATGAGCAGTTCCTTTCCTTCTCCATACTCTTCTCTTCCCATCACTCTGGTACAAAGTTGATCTTGGTCTCATCTGTCTATAGGATGTTGTTCCAGAACTGTGAAGGCTTTTTTTTTTTTTGGCAAACTCTCATCTGGCCTTCCTGTTTTTGAGGCTCACCAATGGTTTACATCTTGTGGTGAACCCTCTGTATTCACTCTGGTGAAGTCTTCTCTTGATTGTTGACTTTGACACACATACACCTACCTCCTGGAGAGTGTTCTTGATCTGGCCAACTGTTGTGAAGGGTGGTTTCTTCACCAGGGAAAGAATTCTTCGGTCATCCACCACAGTTGTTTTCTGTGGTCTTCCAGGTCTTTTGGTGTTGTAATTCCTACATCGTTCACCGGATTTGGATGTAATTACCCTCAAATTAAAGCTGACAGTCTGCAGTTAAAGCACATCTTGTTTGTTTCATTTCAAATCCATTGTGGTGGTGTATAGAGCCAAACATGTTAGAATTGTGTCGATGTCCCAATATTTATGGACCTGACTGTATCTGGAGTAAGTTAACAGGGATATTTTCAGGCAAAATGGGTCATACAGTCTTATAATTGATGAACCTGCCAAAATCCAAATTTGCTAGTGAAAATCATGTAAGTAGAGGCAGATACATTGGAATGATTCAACTGCACATCAGGCATGTACTCTGCCAGTAAATCCATCTAGTGTGTGTGTGTTGGCTGTATAATGGTTAGTCCTCTGCTTTGTGTGTGTGTGTGTGCTTATACTTGGTGGTCCCCAGTCCCTCCTTCTTTTTAGTTATACCTGGTGGTCCCCTATTTTGTGAGATTTATACCTGTTGGTTCCTGCCCTGTGTAGGGTCTCCCACTGAGTATGGTTAGTCCTGGTGGCCTCCCGGTCCCAGGTCCCCATACTTAGTATGCACCTGTTGGTCACTTGTCTCCCATTTTTTATGCCATTATATGTGGTGGTCCCCTGTCCCCTATTTTGTGCAATTATGCCCGGTAGTTCCTGGTCCCCTGTTCTGTGCCATTATACCTTTTTATACCACCTTTGGAATTGGCACTATGTATTCCACACACGTCCTCCATTGCTGACTCTGTATGTTTGCTGTAATTCAGCAGATTGTGTTCTGCTCACAGCAGGGTGGACACTGATCCCCCGCCGCACACAAGTGTTTATCATTACACTGGCGGAGATAGAGCTTTATGGCGGATGGAGTTTATTTTTTTTCTAAATTGTCCTGAGTTTTGTATTACTAGCAGGGCGGGGGCCAGGTGACTTAGCGCACAGGGAGCTGACACTCCAGAGCAGTAATTGAATGTCAGCCTCTGTTCTTGCCTCAGGTTATCGTGCTCCATCAGAGGCCGAAATCCCACTTGGCCTCTGCAAAATAAATGTATACAAAAAATACGGTATTTTCTCCTTCCAGTAGCTGCCCTGCACAGGCTGCGATAGCTTTCTGTTAGAAAATTGATTCTACATATCGTGAATGGGGAAATCTTGTCATGTCTGCAGCAGAGTTTGATGATATGGAAGTGAAGCAGCTTCTCTGTTATGACCTGTGTGTAGGAAAAGTGGCCTCTGCTGCTTCTCCATGCCATCAGTGTTTCTACATTTGCAACTTGTTCTCTTAGGGCTGGTTCACACCAGATTCAGTCAATTGCTTTTTTTGTGCGTCAAAAATGCATGCAGAGTGTTTTCCATGTATTCCAATGACCCCAGTTCACACCAGTGCAGTCAGTTCTAATGCTTTTTAATGCAGAAAAAAAAGTAGAACATACTGCTTTTTTTCTGCACAGAACTGTATTGGAACACAGCAAAATGCATCAAAAACACACTGGAATTGAGTGTGGAGTGAACTGTAAGCAAAAATGCATTTGAAGTGCATTTGGAGTGAACTGACCCTTACAGATATTTCATATACACTGAGCTAGTGAAACTTCAGAATTTGCTTACTGCTGTTTTTCTGCAATTCTTTACTTTTATGTAAAGAGACTGTAATTTGATCTCCTGTCATTCAAAAATGATATACAGCTGAATGGCTGAGAGGAGGGATGCACACCTTCCCTACCTTCAGTTCATACTGTTCTGTGTGGAGTATCATTTAAAGAGAGGCAGCCCTGAATGATCTGCAGTCACCATGCCATGAAAGTTGAATTGCAGTATGAGAGAGACAGTGATTATCAATGCCATTGCAGTCCCTCTGCAAAACATTGATTTGACACTTGTGCTCCTGACAGCTACCTCAAACTTTACTGGCACCAGATTTTACCCTCTTTCACACTTGAGAGTGTTTTTCTGCTCATTTCCATATGCCTGACTGTGCAGAATCCCATTCTTTCTAATTGTTCCTGTTCATTCTTGTATGCTCAGTCGCTCCACTCCACCCTACACTCAGAAAAGTACATGAGCTCTTTTTTTTTTTTTTTTAAACATATTTTCATGTGTTTCTACGCCTAAAGAATTCCTCTCCTCCTAAAGAACTGCTCCACTTGCCCAGCCTAATAAATAAACTCCTGATGCTTGATACACGTGCAGAAATGCATGAAAATAATGCTTTAAAACCACCAGGAATACACTTCTCAAATGTGAATAAATACTTGCATCATTGAAATCCTTTACCAAAGGTCAGAGGACAGTACATACAAAGGAAAAAAAGAATAAAAGAATAAGTGTTCAAGAAATAAGCCAAGCCATTTAATATGAAAAGGCCTGTCTAATTAATACTTTTCCTTCACTGGACCCAAGTCAGTCCCTAACCAGGGCAAAATTAGACTTCTAGCTGCTGTGGCCTGAGAGCCACACAGGTGCCAAAGGGCCTCAGATTGGGAATCAGGGCACTAGTGTCTCCCTCTTATGGTTGATTGCAGTCTCACAGGTAATCTGTGTGTGCATGTGACCTGTTTATCCCTATACAGACTGTTCTTTTATGCCGGTATCGGTATTATGCTAGAAACTGTACAGATACATTCCTGTCTTAGTCTCCATCATGCTATTTATTCAGCTGATACTATCTATTTCACTAACTTATTTAATTCAGTCTTATCACTTGGCAGATGAGAAGGAAGAGGGTGTCCTGGGGAGTATTCTGCTTCCAAGTTTCCAGATATCTATGGTTATCCCAGAGGACCATATAAACCGCTCATATGCCTTCAAGGTAAGAACATAGGCAGAGCTCATCACAGACAAACCAGCTGACTTTCCTCAGATTATTCATCTCTAGTAATAAAAGCTTTTATTTGGCTGCTGCCTTTCTATCGTGGCCAGTGTTATTCTTTTTAAGAAAATAAAGTTATGGACTCATGTTTTGTGTTCAGACTATAAATTTGTTTCATTCCCCCAGGCGACACACTCCAACATGCGAACGTATTACTTCTGCTCTGACACCAGCAAGGAGATGGAGCTGTGGATGAGGGCGATGATTGGGGCGTCACTTGTACACTCAGAGCCCATCAAACGGTAAAATGCTAACATCTTTCTTAGTGTGGTGTCAGGGGGTGCTAAATATGAATAGGAATACTTTTTTGTGTTGCCCTGTGGTTTAACACATCGTAGTATTGCATATTCACAGCACGACATCTAAGAAACAATTACTTTAATGGGGCATGTCCACATTAGCAAGCTTCTAAAACCACTGCTGTTGCAGCATGAGTAATTCATATGAGGAAGCTCCAAAGGATTTAACCAAAATACACAAAATGCCAGTGTTACGCTGCTTTGTGTGTTTTTTGACATACTTTAATGCATCTCTTAGAAATACTGGAATGCCCGCTGGACAGGAAATGCAAAACAGGTTTTTTTTGTGTAATGAAAAGAGAATAACATGCAAAAATAATGCAATAAACTCACTTAAACACCATTTGAACTTTGAGTGTGAATTGAATATATATATATATATATATATATATATATATATATATATATATATATATATATATATATATATGTTCTAGGTGCTTCAACACAATGGGTATGATAAGTCTTAAAGTTTATTTTCATTATAAAGTGTAGAAACGTCTGTTCCAAGCCGGGATGCTACAGTGCAATTTCTCTCTATATGGGGTTGTGGATGTCTCTCTGCAGAGGTTTGACATGCCCCCTTTTCAGTCAGACCTAGGGGGGAAAGGCTTTTCTATCCAGGCTATGGAATCTTTCTATGGAAAAACAAACTGTAGGACTGACACCAAAACAAAAGCAAGAAAGAAATGCAGAAACTTTGCTAAACAGTACAATGTGTATGTAGGGAGTGTTACCAGGGTCTGTTGTGATGGTTTATAAATATGAATCCCTAATCGATAACCCATTACATGCTCTGGACATCTGCTTCTACTCAGATTTTGCAGACTGGCCATTTTGTAGGGGTTTTTGAGTGTGTATGAGTGATGTTTGCTGTAGATGTGTGCAGTACCACAGCACATGTCGCCGTGATCGGAACGCAAAGCTGCAATTTTCCTCCAGCAGTCTGTTGGTAAATTATACACTTAGTCAGGAAATTCTGCTTGTTGGGGGACTGGCCACATTTGCGAAGTCAGCAGATACATTCCATGAAACATCACACAAAGTGACCACAAGAATCTTCTGTAGATCTATGGCAAATGCAGAATTGGTAGTTGAGGTTTGAAGTCTATCTTTAGCATTCCACATGAGGGAAATAACGAGTAAAAATTCTGAAACGTGAAGCTTTTTGTAAATATGCATAATCCTACAACTGCACATTTACGCTGACCCACTAGAAGATAGTTCATTTAAGAAGTACCACCTGCATGACACAGAACAATCAGCTGGGGTAAGCGGTGTTGCCAGCAAGAGTCAGGGTAATTGGTGTGGCCTGAAAGACCCATTATGGGGAATCTGGGTAGGTAGCATCAGGTACAGGACACAGAATTGAGATTTCAAAGTAAGTAGTATTGTCTGTAGGATATGGAAAAAAGATTCCGGGTAAACATCGTCAACTGTAGTTCACAGAACAAGGAATTGTAAGGATAAGCACCATTGCTTGCAGGACACAAAATGGAAACTCCGCAAACACAGGGTGGCCTGCAGGACACAGAAGTGAGAGGGTAAACCATGTCATCTGTAGTACGCAGAACTGAGAGTTGGGGTAAGCAGTGCTGTGTACAGGACACAGAATAAAAAAATCAGGTTAAGCAATGTCACCTGCAGGGCACAGAATGGAGATACAGGGTAAGCAGTGTTGCCTGCAGAACAGAGAATGGAGAGTCAGGGTAAGCAATGTTGCCTAGAGAACAGGGAATTAGGGTAAGCAGTGTTGCCTGCAGAACACACATAATGCAGACTTAGGATAGGCAATGTTGCCTGCAGGTCACAAAAAAGAGAATTATGGGAAGGAAAGTGGCTTGCAGGACACAGAATAAAAAAGTCGGAGTAAGCAATGTCTCCAACGGGATGCAGAAGAGAGCCAGGGTTGGCAGTGTTGCCTGCAGGACGCAGAATGAAAAAGTAGAGCAAGCTGCATCACCTGCAGGATACAGTACTAAGAGTTGGGGTAAAAGATGTGGCCTGCAGAAATGGAGAATCCTTGTGTGGTGGTCTGTTTACAAAGAACATTATTACTGCTTTTTGTTTGACCATCTTGTGTGTCCGATATATTGTGCAGTTATACTTTTTTTTTCACCAGTTTAAATAATTATAAAGCCCCATATACCTTTTCAAATGATTTTCAGCAGTTTGACAGTGAGTGCTCTTCCTTTATATTGGCTACATATAGGCCAGACCTATGATGTGCAGACTGCAGTGAAGCCGTGCTGGTCATGGCTTGTAGAGTTACAGAAAGGAAAGTTACAATGCTGAAACTTAAGGGTGACAAAAAGGAGAAAAGTGACAGAAGTGAAGAAAGCTTATTTTAGCTTCATTTCATAGTAAATAATGGATTATGCTTGTTTTTGGGTGGTGTATGTCATCAGCAAAAGTGGTTGTAAAGGCTGAAGGTTTTTTACCTTTATGCATTCTATGTTTGCTTCTCCCCCCAGAGGCCCCCCATTACTTACCTGAGATTGATCTTGATCCAGCAATGTACACAGGAGCCTTGGCTCTCCTGGATCTCTCTCTCCTCATTGGCTGGGGACACAGCAGGGGGAGCCATTTGCTACTGCTGCTATCAATCACAACCAATGAGGGGAGAATGGAGGGCGGGGCTGAGCTGCTCTCTGTGTGTCTTTTATAGACACACCGAGGCGGCTCGGGAGTGAGCACACGAATGCCCCCAGAGAACATGGCCAGAAGCACCGGCGGGTACTTGAGAAGAGGAGGATCAGGACGGCCCTGTGCAATGGTTTTGTAGGCAAGTATAACAACATATTTGTGATTTAAGAAAAAAAAAATGATCCTTTTAATATCCCTTTAATGAATAAGCAGGCAAGAGCCTTCAAATCTTGCCAATGTTATCTGAACATCACATTTTGCTGTTTTTTTCATGTATTGAAATATGGTAAATATGAAGGAACAGGTTGCCCAGAGCAACTTTATAATTAGGATAAAACGGTAAAAAAAAAAAAATCTGTATTTCCCCGGAGAGAACATCAAAAACTGCATTCTGACCTTTATCTACTGCCTGTTGGGGTATGAAATATGTCCTGAAGTCACAGACTGTATCTGCAAATTGTGGTGGGGATAGAGAACTTATTATTGTTGTGAAAAGAAAATTTTATTAATATTAGAAGATATAGCAATTGATTATCTTGTGTTCACTTTTTTTGTTTAGGGAGAATGTAGCAAAACAAGAGCACGTGGCCACCCAGGAAATAAACCACGTGGCCAATCACAGGCTGTTAATTCGGCCCGAAGCCAATAATAACCAGCGAAATAAAGAAATTACTTGCAAAGTGGAGGAGAAAGCTGCTTGGGAGGCAGAGAAATATGGCTTTCAGAAAGAAGGACAAGATCGGCCTCTAACTAAAATCAACAGCGTGAAACTGCAGTCCTGTATTTCTGACTATGACATTCTGGCAACAAACATAGGGCACTACAAGAGTGTTCACATAAATGGACCTGACAACAGAGTCCTAGATTGTCAAGGCCATGTCACTGAGACTGATTCCCACCTGAACCACAGACCATACTTGCCTCATGGGGAGCCCAATAAAATAATCCAGAGGACCAACTCCATGCAACAGTTGGAACAATGGATCCGGACCCAGAGAGAGAAAGGCCCCGAGGATGACACCAGGGTGAGTGACCTTTTACAGCATTGTATTTACATGGCACCACTTTAAACAAAACCCCTTTTTTTCCAGTACAGTAGGCAGAACAAAGTTCTTTCTATCCAGAGCTGTTCATTTATAACCCACATACAAAAAGAGAACCATTTATCCAAATGTCCATCCAGAGTTGTAGCACAGATAGTCAAAACGAAGGGCCATTTATCCAACTGTCCATCCAGAGCCACTGGTTTAAAGCACAGTACAGCCTAAATATGGAGCCATTTATCCAGTTATACACCCAGAGCCACTGGCTTTATAGTCCAGAAACAGCCTAATGCCCAGTACACACTATCATTTTTTTTTTTAATCTTTTAATATTGTTTAACCCAGCGGGCTAAACGATCAAAAATTTTAAGAGCTTGGGGAGGGCGAATCCTGTACTAACAAACCGATGATCGGATGCCGATCGGCAGACCTTTTTCTGTCATACCACTTCCAGCAAAAAAACGCAGATGTTTACATGAATGAGAGAAATGTCAGAATGGGCCTGTTTTGAAGCGGTTGAAGTAGAAATATAGGCATAATGTTTGTTTTTAATTTTTGATAGAGTCAGATTTTTTTTTTTTTTTTTGCCACCTGTCCCATTGTGGAGATTTCCCTTCACTTCCTGTCCAAAGCCAAACAGAAAGTGAGGAAAATCCCTGAAAATTAAGGGAATTCCCTACGTACCTCGATGTCACAAGAACTAGTGTCCCCAGTGGAAGATTCCCCCTCTATTACTTTTGCGGGGACAACTCAAAATTTGGGATGTTTCTTTACTCTCACGTTCAACGATAATCGTAAACAGGACAAACAGAGAGAGTGAAACTCCTTATCGATGGCACAGATAGCAATAAAAACTGACGGGTGTAATAATCCATCTCCACTGTATCCAAAACTAAAAAAAAAAAAAAAGTTTGCCTTAGAGTTTAAAGCATAGTACAGCCTAAATATACAGCCTTTTATCCAGCTGTACATCCAGAACCACTGGGTTATAGCACACCACAAATCTAGATCCATTTTCCCCCACTCTACATCCAGAACTTTTTAAAATGTGAAAATTTTTTCAAAGTTTAGTGATAATTCTGGATGGTTAGAATGACTAGAGATCTTTAAAGTATATGTGAAACCTTACCTTGTAAAACAACCTTTATATATACAGTGGATAAAAAAAGTCTACACACCCCTGTTAAAATGACAGGTTTCTGTGATGTAAAAAAATGAAACCAAGATAAATCGTTTCGGTATTTTTTCCACCTTTAATGTAGCCTATAAACTGTACAACTCAGTTGAACAACAAACTGAAATCTTTTAGGTGGAGGGAAGTAAAAATACAAAACTAAAATAATATGGTTGCATAAGTGTGCACACCCTTAAAGTAATACTTTGTTGAAGCACCTTTTTATTTTATTCCAGCACTCAGTCTTTTTGGGTATGAGTCTATCAGCATGACACATCTTGACTTGGCAATATTTGCCCACTCTTCCTTGCAATTTGCGAGGGCATCTCCTGTGCACAGCCTTCTTCAGATCACCCCACAGATTTTCGATCGGATTCAGGTCTGGGCTCTGGCTGGGTCATTCCAAAACTTTAATCTTCTGTTGAAGCCATTCCTTTGTTGATTTGGATGTATACTTTGGGTCGTAGTCATGCTGAAAGATTAAGTTCCTCTTCTTGTTCAACTTTCTAACAGAAGCCTGAAGGTTTTATGCCAATATTGACTGGTATTTGGAACTGTTCATAATTCCCTCTACCTTGACTAAGGCCGCAGTTCCAGCTGAAGAAAAACAGCCCCAAAGCATGATGCTGCCCACCACCATGCTTCACTATGGGTATGGTGTTCTTTTGGTGATGTGCAGTGTTGTTTTTGCGCCAACCATATCTTTTTGAATTATGGCCAAAAAGTTCAACCTTGGTTTCATCAGACCATAACACATTTTCCCACATGCTTTTGGAAGACTTTAGATGTGTTTTTGCAAAATTTATCCGGGCTTGGATGTTTTTCTTCGTAAGAAAAGGCTTCCAACTTGCCATTCTACCCCATAGCCCAGATATATGAAGAATACGGGAGATTGTCACAGTACCACACAGCCAATACTTGCCAGATATTCCTGCAGCTCCTTTAATGTTGTTGTAGGCCTCGCAGCCTCCCAGACCACTTTTCTTTTCATCTTTTCATCAATTTTGGAGTGGCATCTAGTTATTGGTAATGCCACTATTGCACCATATTTTCTCCACTTGATGATGACTGTCTGCACTGTGTTCCATGATATTTATAATGCCTTGAAAATTTTTTTGTACCCTTCTCCTGACTGATATTTTTAACAATGAGATCCCTCTAATGCTTTGGAAGCTGTCAGCGGACCATGGTTTTTGCTATAGGATGCGACTAAGAAAATGTCAGGAAAGACCTACTAGAACAGTTGAACTTTATTTGTGGTTAATCAGAGGCACTTTAAATGATGGCAGGTGTGTACGGCCTCCTATTTAACATGATTTTGAATGTGATTGCTTAATTCTGAACACAGCTACATCCCCAGTTATAAGAGGGTGTGCACACTTATGCAACCACATTATTTTAGTTTTTTATGTTTACTCCCCCCCAAAAGATTTCGGTTTGTTTTGAGTTGCACAGTTTATAGGTCACATTAAAGGTGAAAAAAGTTCTGAAATGATTTATCTTTGTCTAATTTTTTTTCACATCACAGAAACCTAACATTTTAACAGGGGTGTGTAGACTTTTTATTGTGTGTTTGGGTGGATATATATATCACATGACCTCTGTTCTCAGCTGTATAAGGGGCTTTGTGAGTGCTGGGGGTGGAGTCTATGGGGAAAGGGGGGGGGGGGTGGAGTCTTGGTGAAGAGCTGTGCAGGAGGGACTGGTAGATACACTAGGTATTTTACACAAAGGAAGAGAGAAGGAGAAGAAGCGCCTCTAAGTGCAGCATATCACTTTAATAAGGTTGAAAGGTAAAAGCACTCACATGGTTGAGGTTAATATAAGCGTAAAAAACCGTAGTAGGTTGTAACATCGGTCAGATAGGTGTACAGGGTGAAAAGCTGTCATTAGAATGGAGGATGGTGTAGTCAGCGTGCCGCTGGAGTAGCGTGGTGGCTGGAAGGGAACAGCTGAGAAGCCGGCCAGCGTACACGTCCTCCCTTCAGAGCCGGGTGGAACACAGCTGCGACGTGTCCATGATGATGTCAGATACCCAGAATGCACTGCGACGCGTTTCGGAGCATGCGCTGGCCTGCAAAGGCGGAAGTGCGCTCCTTTATCAAGCAGCCGACTACACCATCCTCTGTTCTGATGACAGCTGTACACCCGTCTGACCGATGTTACAACCTACTACGGTTTTTTATGCCTATGTTAACCTCAACCATGTGAGTGCTTTTACCTTTCAGCCTTATTAAAATGATATGCTGCACTTAGAGGCTCTTCTTCTTCTCCTTCTCTCACCCTACAGAGTCTGCTACAGTACTTGTTAGAAGCATTGCCCTTAGTCCCATACGGGCCAACCCAAGTTCATCCACAACACCACCAGCACCCCACACCAGGATAGCCCAGGACTTTGTACAGTTTTGCGCTGATCATCCCCTTCATTTTACGCAAAGGAAACAGGATACATTTTATTACAAATATATGGTTAAACAGACACATATCAGAAATATGAAATGTTGGAATAACAAACACTTTACACTCAGGCCTGATTATCTTCTATCTGGTGCAGACTTGATTAAAACATTATTCCATGATTGTACATTTGTGTTTGTTTAGAGTCTTGTCATATCAGACGTTGCCCAGAAATATGCCGAGTTATCGGGCTCAGGTTGTTCCACGCTATCCGGAAGGCTATAAGACATTGCCACGCAATCTGAAGACACGGCCAGAAAGTGTGTGTAGCACAGCTGGGATGGGATATGACCGAACGATGGTTCCTGTAAGCGCCACAACTGATGAGAAGAGGAGGTCTATACGTGATGATACAATGTGGCAACTGTATGAATGGCAGCAAAGACAATTTTATAATAAGCAGACAACTCTACGGAGGCACTCTTCTCTGACCAGCCCAAAAACCATGGTTCATATATCCGACCAGACCCTGCACTCCATTCCCATGTCCCCGTCGCATGGCTCTATCTCTGGTTATCACACGTATTCTCCACACCGGGCCTACAGGTCAGAAGTATCTTCACCAGTTCAGCGTGGAGACCTGACAATAGACCGCAGACCCAAAGCTCAGACCAGCAAGGTAACCACTTCATATTATGCTTCCTTTTATAATAGGTTGCCTCTATTGTGCAATTCTATCAATTTTAGATTAGTTATTAAGTGATAGGAGAAAGTTTCTGTAAACGTACCAGTTTTCCTAAACACCAAACAAGTGTTTCCATTATTATGCCTTTTTTTTGGAGAGCACAAGCAGAACTTCAGTAGCCTGAAAAAAGCAATATGTGACAGAACAGGACAATGTAACAATGTAGGACAATTGGACAGGACAAAGCACTTGTATTCATAGACCATGAGTTACATGCTGCTACCTTCAGGTAATTGGACACTGACAAAAATGTTTGCCAGGCCGCCCCCAGAACATAGCCATATAACTCTGCCAGATATCTGACTTCTACTTGCCACTACCTAGCAGTTCTTTGATTGGTTATCCTTCGCTTATACCTTGGGGACTGTACCTGGACCCCACTGTGTGAGACTGGCTTTTAATGACTGCTTCAGGCACTGGATCTTGCAACAGCCACTCACCTTGGCATGCAGTGCACAATGTGAAGTTATCTGCAAAGTGCTATACAGGTCAAGGGTCTAGGTCCATTTCTATGGTTCCAGACCCTGAAGACCCCTCGTTGGTATTCCCACCATGACGGGTGAAGCCTGGACTTTTATTAGGCCAACATTGTGGATAACGTAAGATATGGTTCCCTTGTAAGATAACACCAGTTCCTGGCTTTTATTAACTCTATTCGAAAGACCTAATATGCAGGTTAGTGGGCAGAATATTCACTTTACTGTGGTAACCCCTGCCATTTTTAGTGATTTTAACACTCTTCAGCATGAAAATTATTAAATTTGCTGTTTGTCCCCCACTTCTATCTGGAGAGGGTAACAGTGTCACACCTGCCAGATGATGTTTTTCTGCAAACCCGTTCATCAAGAATACATGCAATACATTGCCACATTCTAGCTACCATTTTCTACAGAGACACGGCCACAGGAACTCCATCAGTGCCTGGGTTATAGCAACTCCTTTCTGGACATGTAAAACTCTATACATACCACACTCTTGAACTGTGATTATCCCACTGGGGATCCCCTGCCTTTCAATGGCAGATCACAGGTGCAAGAAACTTTGGAGAGAAGGACCCGTTAGCATTCTGATGGACTACAGGAAACATAGAGCACTGCTCAATGTCGTAGCTATTGGTTGCCCTGGAACAATGTCCTATTATGACACCATTCCCCTCAACTGTCTCTAGCTCCCTCTCAGATATTAACCATGGAGCCTGACTAATAAAAGCAGATTTCTCTTGCCTTATGTCTGAATTCTTTTGAAAACCCTTGGCACTTGCAGAATCTTTGGTTTCCAGAAGCCAAAAACACTACTTACCCTCTTTCCTTCCTACCCTGTTCAGGTATTGAGGTTATTGATTTTATAGCAGAGGCAGCTCCCTTCCCCTTAGCCTGTAAGGTACAAGCTATAGTTTAGTGCCAAATGCTTTCCACTGTGGAAACACTAATTGATGCCCTGCACACTAGTCTCTGCCTAACAGTACTTTATTCTCCACAGTCAAAACAGATACTTATGGTACTAAGAGATTGGCTGAGTCTAAAAAGGCTTCTATACGTGCACCTTGAGGACTGGCTCAGCCTTGAAAAGGTTTTTGCTTCTCCTAAGCTTATGCTGACATTTATTCTATAGAAAGGAATTTTAAGAAGAAATGGTTTATTCTAGTAGCAGAACCTGTATATCCGTTTTCAATGAACACTTCACAGTCCCTATTAAAGTTGCTTCCCTTTAGAATTCTGTTGATATTTGTTTTGAAGCCATATTAAAGTCTTTATTTGTTCTTGCATTTCCAACTCTGTGTCCAGCAATTGCTGCCATGTCTATTTGTCAGAACTGGTCAAGACTCATGAACATGAACAGGAAACTGTGGTTAAAGAACCTTGTTCTCTTACAACACATACAGCTTCAGCCTTCTTGTTTAGTGTTGAGGTTCTTGAGAATGTAATTTCCCATGTCTCAAGAATCTCTTATCTTATGTGCAGAATTTGTGGCTAAAAGCTGGATCACCAACCCCACCAAGTCTTCCCAGAATCCTTCACAATGAAGGACCTCCCCACTTCTCAGAGTGGGGGAATGTCTTTTGGTATTTGTCTCACTCTGGATTCGGGACGTCCCACACCTCTGGGTCAAATCTGTCATTTCAAATGGGGTTTGAAATAAAGTTTCATCTCTGCTCCTCCTCACATTGTGCCTTCCAGTGTGCCAGCCTCCGACCAAAAAAAAGGAAGATTTAATGACAGTCTTGCACCAACTTCAGGTACAAGGAGTGGTTGTACCAGTTCTTACGGAAGAACTGTTTCAAGGTTTCTGTGCAAACCTACTGTATTTACAATCTCAAAGCCAAGTGGGGGTATCTGCCCAGTACTGGACTTGGTAAAGTACTGGACTAAATAGATTTTCTTGTGTACCAAAATTTTGGATGGAATCTACGAAATGTATTTCTTCACACATGCAAGATACCACTCTCCATATTCCCATTTTCCCTGGTCATCATCACTTTTTACTTTTTGCTGTGAAGACCAGCACTTCCAGTTTGTGGAACTACCATTCAGGCATGCCCCTTTGTACCTGGATTGTTTACAAACGTGCTTGCTCCACTTCTTGCTCCTCCACAAACCCAAGGCATTCATGTCACAGGTTATCTGAAAGACCTTCTGCAGAAGGACTTCTCAGTCTGGTCCTTGTCTGCCCAATTTCCAGAAGACTATGCAGTTTTTTCAAACCTTTGGAAGTTTAGTCAAGTCTGCCCTCCAGCCCTCACACCATCTGGAGTACCTGGATCTAATCTTGGACACAGCCCAAGCAAGATTCATGACTCAATAGAGTCCAGCTCTCAGACCCTCAGGTCACAATGACTCCCCTCGATTTGATTCTGCATGAGTTTTCTGGGCCTCATGGTGGCCTCCTTTGAGGCATTTGTCTTTGCCCATTTTCACTCCAAACCCATTCAATCCAAAATCCTCAGGACGTGGAACAAGCAAATCCAGTCCGTGGCTCACCCAATGCTTCTACTCAGCCAAATGTTCCTAGCATGGTGTAATTATGAAAGGCATTCCTTCAAAGAACTTGGAACAAGTTAACGACAGATGCTAGTCTTACAGGGTGGACTCTTACAACTCCGACTTTCCAGGGGATATGGTGCCTGCAGTAGTCTAAACTCCCTATCAACATTTTGAAATTGAGAGCCATCTTATTGTCTCTACACCATTGGGCCTTCCTTTTATAAAGGTCACTCAGTCAGAGTAAGTCAGATAGTACCACAGCTGTGGCCTGCATAAACCATCAAGGAAACACCAGAGACACTTAGCAGTCCTAAAAGAAACAAGTATAATATTTTCATGTGCTGAAACATACATGCTAACTTTCTCGGCTGTTCACATTCTGAGAGTGGACAGTTGACAGGTTAACTTGCTGAACCATCGACACCTAGACCCAGGATATTGTTCTCTGCACCCCGAGAATCTGTCTAAGGTGGGGAAAAAATAATGCAAACATTTTTGGTCTCCAGGTTCAACAACAAACTGAACAAGTTCAAGGCCAAAACCAGGGATCTAGCCTTTGCAGTAGATTTTTGGACTCAATTGAAGCTTTTTTATGCCTTTCCTCAAATATAGATCCTCCCTTGACTGCAGTGCAAGATAGAGGAAATGGTTCTGGTGATTCTCATTGCACCAGATTGGTCTATAAGAATGTCATACACAGACATACTCAGACGTCTTGGCCTCTTCCTTGTTCCATCCTGCTTCTTAGTTGCTGCTTTTAACAGAATGGCTATTAATACCCAGGTCCTAAAGGATGGAGTATCTTTAATGTGGTTATTCCCACCCTACACAGAGCAAGAAAATCCATCTCCCGCAAGATTTCTTTGTACATTGGATGCTTACTTTGTATGGTGGAAGGACAGAAGGCCGAATCCTCTATCTGTTATTTAGGTCTTTCTTCAGTCTGGTCTTGACCAGTGTCTGGCCCTGAGTATAGGGTCAGGTTTCTGCCTTATTTATCCTTTTCCAGTAACCTCGTTCCTTGCTATACCTTTTCTCCTTCCTCATAAAACTCCTCCAATTCAACCTCCTGTGTCACCTTGGAATCTCAGCCTGGTTCTCGCTGCTCTTCAGAGACCCACCTTAGAAGAAATTAGAGACATACTGTTGGAATACCTCACCCTTAAGGTTGCCCTCGCATCTGTTAGGAGTGTTTCTGAGTTAGTAGCTTTCTCTAGTAAACCGCCTTTTTCTGTTTTGGACATGGTGCTTTTGATACCAAAACCTTTCATTTACCCAACGTGGTCTCCTCTTTTTCTACTACTGAATGAGGAAATCATCCTCCTTTCCTTATGTCCTGCTACAGAACATGACAAGTAAATTACCTTACATTGTTTAGATGTGATAAGGGCTGTCATCATCCACTTTGCTGCCATGGCCCCCTTTCGCAAGACTGAATCCCTTTTTGTTCTACTTGCAGGTACTCATAGAGGACACCTTGCTTCCGTCTTCACTCTTGCCAGGTGGATCAGACAGCTGATTTTTAGGGCTTACCTTCTTCAAAGGATAGTTAGTGCAGCAGACCAAAGATGTGAAATCTGTACTCTTCTCCCTCTTCTTTCTGCCGCCTTTTCGGGAAGGATCAGAGCAATGTTTTGTGCTGATGCCGATCAATCATGATCATTCTGATCTTGAAAGCGTTGCAGAAAGAAGACAGAGGGGAATGATTACTTCAAATCACTGGATCGCTGCAGTGGCTGTGTGGACACTGACAGCTCATCATCCACGAAGATAAGTACAGCAGGGACCAGGGGAGGTGGGGAGCGTGTATGGTGTTCACCCTTTTCTTTTTTTACTGAAAAGGTGAACTTGCCTTTTAAAGAGATGTTTCCTCCCTTTCCCATCAGGGTCCATTCCACCAGGGTTGTTGGTGTCTCTTGGACTTTTCAGCATCAAGCATCTATGTTCCAGATTTGCAAGGCCTCCATCTTGGTCCTCTGATTGCACAATTTCCAAGTTCTACCAGGTGGATGTTTAGTCTTGGCTGTTGTGAGCTTCAGCCGCAAGGTGCTTTGGGCTGTAATCTGAGAACCCTGTTCAGGTTCTTTAAATGTTTGTGCTTCTTGTGGGCCTGTTGGCAGTTCTGTGTTTCCATGGTGTTGCCCACCCTTGGTTTTATTGCTTGGGTACATCTTATCTGCGAATACAAGTTCTTTGTCCTGTAAATTTATTATCTTGGAGAACAGTGCAGGACACATGTCCCTCTCCTCTGTGCCTTAATCCCTACTTATTGCTTGCTGATAAACTGGAGCTTTACAAAATCTGTGGGGTTATAGAAATAAGGAGTGAAGATGGCCCTAGCAAAGGTTTTTGCCAGTATCCAATCACTAGAAGGTAGCAGTGTTTAACCCACGGGCCATGAGTGCAAACTCTGTGTCCTGTATTGTACTCAATAGTATGAATTTACAGTAAGTCACAATTCTTGGCAAAATTGTTGGAGAAAAAGGCATGAGACTTCATAAATAGTCTAAATGTATCTGTAAATAGATAGAACAGCTTTTATAAATGTGAGTTACGATTTCTCATGAGAGTCTAAAATCTTAATCCTGACCTTTATAGACGGAATGGATAGAAAGATCCCCATGATGCACTGTAGGGTTGACCTCATCTTTACTCTAATATTCAGTTTCATGGTCTTTAAATGGGTTTAGACAGGCTGAATACAGAATTTTATCTTAAATTGAAACACATTCATCTACCTATAGTGACTCTTGGGTATGTGTCTTTATTATATTCCAGTCTGGTAGTTATTTAGAAATAACTGCTGATTCTGCCAGTCCACATAAGCACATCTGTGCCGCTGTGGTCCGTTTGCATCTCTCAGCTCCCAATTGAAGCTGCAGAATGCCAGGCAGATACATGGCGTGCCTTTAACTCTGTAGTCACACTCACTTTGGTTGACACACCCACTGTCTAGTCTTGCTCTTTTGGTTAACAGAGGCTTTTCTAAACAATTTTATACAGTTTTTCTCAAGTGCATTGAAAAAAGTGACAATGTCAGAAAACACAGGCTGCATACAATCCTTGAGCAGGTTCTGTGGCCCATCATGTGTCCCCTGGTGTCTTGCTGCAGCCTCCACATGAATGACTTATAATATTTAGTTACCCTGTAGTAGATCATACTGGATGTGAAGACTGAAAAAAGGGGCGCTAATGAGTAAAACATTGTGCTTTGTCAATCTACCAAGGCTTTTGTATTTGTACCATAATACTCCTTTCATGTTAGTGTATAGATCATGACTTCCTAACCTGTGAAGTAACTAGAGTTTTCTATCTTTCTGAATATAGTCTCCTGAAAATAACATGTAACACTGTGCTCAATTTCCTACTCCTGAATCTCTTGGATTTGTTTTCTGAGGAGTTGGCAGTCACTTTGACAAGGAAATGTTGTGTTTCTACAGCTGGGCCTCGTTCCTGACAGAAGGTCAGTGCCAGCGGGATTGGCTCTTCAACCCGTAACACCGCAGGGTCTGCAAGGCAAAACTGTGAGTGGTGTATTTATCTGTAATAACAGCGTTCAGTCCATGTTCTGTGCACAACCTTCCGCAGTCCTCTAACAAAATATTCACCCCCTGCTGACGACGCCACCAATCATTTCTCTGTATCTGCTGTATGATGAGAATCTGATTGCTGAGTTTTCAAATTATTAGTTTGACTGCTGGATGAATTACAGAGCAAACCTCCAACATAATTATACACATTTATATGAGGATTGCCTTTTAATGGAATCTCTAGTCTTTTTATGTGAACATGATCATCTTATTGTAAAAACTCCTCTCACTGAGAGTAACATTTTAAATATGTGGCTTCTGTGTAGCTACATCCGTACGTGGGGCAGCCTTAGCTGTGTTCTGCTTATTGTTGCTGCACAGTGATTTTGTATTCTTATTATACTATCATTTTGCTGAGACTGAGTACATATTCTAAGCTAAAGTCAGCCATACACGGATCAAAATTTGTCTGGTTCAGCAGGGGCAGGCCAAATTATGATCCATGTGTCGGCAGGGAGGTTGTACAGAAGTCGATCTACCAATCGACTTCTCTACAACTGCCCTGTCAGATTTGCAGCGCTGATCAGTGTGTTCTGACTGCGAGAAAGTCTTCCCTCTTTCGGAATACAGTAGCTCAGCAGGGAGGAATTCCCCCATCCACATCACGCATGTGGATAGGGGAATAGAGTCATTTATTTCCGTTCAACCTGCTTTTTCAACAAAAAAAAAAAAAATTAACTCTTCAATGGGCTGCCTGAGTGTGGTTTACCCTGTGTCTTATTTCTCAATGCTCTATACACTGAGAGGGAGAGTATATTAAGACACATGTAAAATGTGACTCAAATCAGAATTTAATATCAGATAATAGTTATTGAAAGTGTGCAGTATTTATAATTGGTACGCCGATCCCCCAAAAAACTGCTGTAATTGTATATCCTTATCTTACAGTACAAGACATAGGCTGGATAGTCATAGATCAGGAGAGAGAAAAGGAACAGGAGGCGCCAAGATAGGTGCAGTACGTAACAGTAACGTTTCATTCGTAGGAATAAAAACACTCACAAGGACAAGAATAAAAATAAGCTCATCTGTATTAGGATGTGAGACTACTCTTAATCCATTCTGTAGGGTACTTCCAGTATGTCAAGGTGACAGCAGGATGGTGAAGCCGTGGGTGCAGTGTAAAGGATCTTCCTTAGGTATGGAGGTACAATGGAGCCGATCAATGGTGTCTGTTCCTGGAAGAAGCCACACTACAGACCCGTAGAAGGAGCTAGACGCTCCGAGCTTGTAGCCTGTTGTTTCTGTGCATCTCCGACACCTGACCCTCTGAGACTTCCGGTGACGTCACTTCCGCCGGTGCGTTCGACGCTGGTAGTGCGGCTTCTTCCAGAACAGATGCCGTTGATTGGCTCCATTACACCTCCATACCCATGGAAGATCCTTTACACTGAACCCACGGCTTCACCATCCTGCTGTCATCTTGACATACTGGCTGTACCTTACAGGACAGATTAAGAGTGGTCTCACATCCTAACAAAGATGGGCTTATTTTTATCCTTGTTCTTGTGAGTGTTTTAAACGTTACTGTTACATACTGTACCTCCTGTTCCTTTTCTCTCCTGATCTTTGCACACAGAGCTGGCCCTGCTGCTAAGGATGGCTGCCGCTATATTACGCCTATCCCATACTTTATAGACTTTATACATCTTTATGTATACTATATGGTATATGTGTCTGTCACGTGCTACTACTATATACAGTTAGGTCCATATATGTTTGGACACAGGCAAAATTTTAGTTTTTTTCTGGTGTTTACCAAAACATATTCAAGCTATAGTTCTATAATGGATATGGGTGGAAAGTGCACACTCTCAGGTTTAATTTGAGGGTATGTACATCCAAATTGGAGGAAGGGTTTAGGAATTACAGCTCTTACAAGTAGCCATCCCCCCTTTTTCAAGGGACCAAAAGTAATTGAACAAGTCAATATAAATTATAAATAAAATGTTCATTTTTAATATTTTGTTGAGAATCCTTTACTGCAATGACTGCCTGAAGTCTGGAACCCATGGACATTACCAAAAACTGGGTTTCCGCCTTTCTGATGCTTTGCCAGGCTCTAACTGCAGCTGTCTTCAGTTGTTTTTTGTTTGTGGGTCTTTCTCCTCAGAATGTACCAAACTGTTGATTTGGCCACTCCTAATGTTGCTGCTATCTCTCTGATGGATTTGTTTCATTTTTGAAGCCTTACGATGGCCTGTTTCACTTGCATGGACAGCTCCTTTGAACGCATGCAATAGATTCCAAATGCAAACATCACACGTAGAATCAACTCCAGACCTTCTACCTGCTTAATTTATGAAGAAATAACGGAGTAGCCCACACCTGGCCATGAAACCGGTTTTGATTCAATTGTCCAATTACTTCTGGTCCCTTGAAAAAGGGGGGATGGCTACTCTTAAGAGGTGTAATTCCTAAACCCTTCCTCCAATTTGGAAGTACATACCCTCAAATTAAACCTGAGGGTGTGCACTTTCAGCCCATATCCATTATATAACTATAGCCTGAATGTGTTTTGGTCAATATCTGAAAAAACTTAAAATTGTGCCTGTGTCCAAATATATATTGACCTAACTGTATGCCTGAGCAAAAGCTTATGATAAACTTGTGTATATGTGATATTTATGCTCCAGTACTTCCCCCCTTTTTTATTGGAGTTTATATGCCTCCGAGCACCAGATTTTTCTCCACTTTTATTGGATAGCCATAGACCCTGGGTTATAGCCTGGTACTGTTGGGTGATTAGCACTGGCAAAGTTTTGCTGGACACACTCGTGGCTTACCCCTATAATGGTACACCATGAGACCTCAGTATTTTGTTAGTGTTCTAAGGTGACAGACTTCTTCTCCATTGCAGAAAAATAATTTGCTTCACTAGTTTATTATTTTACTTCGGATTCTTCACTCAATTTCTCACTGTCTTCTAATTCAACAATAGAAGCAGTGCATCCAGATTGATGCTGCCTCTGTAAAACCTTTGTACCTGGACCCCTTGCTGTATGGACGGCCTGTATTATTGCGTCAGGCATTGAATTCTGCATGGACACGCCTCTCGGCATGTATGTTGTAATCACAGGGTACTATATAGATCAAGGGCCATGGTCCATCCTCTGGAACCCAGACCCTGAAGATCACTCCAGGGGTATGCCATCCATGAAGAGCAATTAGGTACCAGTGACATGGACAGGTAAAACAGATTTACCTTGTGCTGAATCCATATTGTAGCCCCACTTGTTACAGTTTTCCTGAATAATGTTTTTCTATGTTTATACTTTTGGGAAGCCAGAAATTGTTTGAAAATGATTCACTTGTCTAGCGTATATCTTTCAAATTTGACCCTAAAATTCCACCATTCATAGTTTAGTCACGGGTGGATGACCAGGTGTCACATCACACCACAAGTCATACTCTTACCACCACTTCCACCCAGAGCCCTCCATAAGGTTTTCAGACACTTCCTACTGCCCTTTTGCCATTAGAACTTTGTTGCATTATGGTCGGAGCAATATAGGGCATAAGTGAATACATCACTGATGGCAATGGCAGAAACCAGGCAAAAAAGGCAACCATGGCAAAACTTCAGGCAAACGTTTGCTATGCTGAAGGCTTGCAAAATACTCAAACTGTTCAGAGTGACGAGCCTTCTCGTGCACCAGAGCAGGACCCTATTTTAGTTTTTCAGGTATGTAACAAGCGGCCAATCTGAAGTCAGATTTTTCTGCAACTATGTCAGAATTTCTTGGACAACTATCTTGGAACTTCTTGGACGGCTTTAATACAGCCGTCACTGTCCTTCTTCTCCACCTCCACCGCCTCTATTGGTGTCAGAAAGTGAAATACCTCCTCTAAAGGATGTAGACTTCGAGGGGAATGAAGAGGACCCAGAGGCAATGTTAGAAGAGGCCACCAAAGATTTCTCATTCCCAGTCTCTCATACACATCTGATGATACAGCTTCACACAATATTTTTACCAATGTAGATATCTCACTTCTGCTGTCAGCTGTTGCACTTAATTTTCCTCTGTCTCGACATGCCCCGTTTGGGTGCTAAGCGACTACTAAGTCAAAAATGACATTTCCAATTCACCAGTTAATGATGCAATAGAATGGAAAATTTATGATGCTTGGGTTAACCCTGAAAAGATTTTCACCCCTCCAAGAATCATTGCCAATGTCTATCTGGTAGAAAAAGTTCACTAAAATGTGGTCTGTTCTAGCAGTAGAACCTGCTGTCTCAGTCTTAAAAGAGAAGTCTAGAAATAGAAAAAACAAACAAACATACATACTCGCCTAGATTGCTGCAGCACCAGTCCCAGCTGCAACTGTCCCCTGTCACCTCTAAGACCACAAAATGAACAAACACCATCAGTCTGCAGAGAGCCAGAGTCACCTGACTTTCTGCTCTACCCCTCCAGTGCTCACTGGAGTGCCGGGCTGTGGAGGGGGTGGAAGCAGCTGGCTCAGGCTCTCAGTGGATCACTGAGAGGCTGAGCCAGCTGCTGGTCCAGGCACCTGGGTGGATCCCAACTGTAAAGTTGTAAGGTCTTTAGGTCCGAGCCTGGACCTACGGAGTGACATCAGCCAACAGAGGGCTTTAGGGAAATCAAGCGATTTTCTTTCCTGCAACCATGGGAAAAGAAAATGACATCATCTATGGCTTGCCTTAAGCTGACCATCCTTTGTACCATTTTCTTGTTCAGTTTCCTTTAGATTTACCTTCAACTATGTAGTGCAAGGGCTTGCCTGATTGTTAACAAATTGAAAGTATTTAGGTTTAACTTCATATTATATTGTTTTGGTAAATCTAAAGACAATTGTATAATGTATGGCCAGCCTTACTCCCTAGCTTGGTGGATTTAAATTAAGCCTTGACAATGGGGCAGTAGTCTTGCAGGCTGGGGAGGAGTGTTCTGATCATTCATAGTTTAGGG